AATCGGTAGACTGGTAGACTCCTTTGCATTTAAAGAGACAAACCATCGTCAGTCAGGAGACAATCTAACCAGAATGGATTGGGTTTTCTGAATAAGAAAAAAATGTGGAATCCAAATATACAAATGCAAACGTCCACTTTGGAATAGACTGAAGATGTTCTTAGGACAAATAGATTTATTTTATGCACGATTTGCAAATATTCATCATCTCTCAAATTACGCGGAATTTTGCTTCGCTGCTAAGAAAACTGCAAAATTTTTCTTTGAAAATATTGGTGAATATAATTGATCTAATTGGAATAACGTCTTCTGTTTTGTCCCCCGAGACTAATGATAAGTGAATGTTGAGAGCGTTATCAACTTCTCGCTATGTGATAAGTGGACGTTTGAAGAAAATTCAGCCAAAAAGGAAATCCAAACATTAACAACGCCACTTATTTGGGCAAGTCTTCCAATCTCATCCTAGAAACTAAGGAAGGGTACATCTCATCTACAATCCATCCTGGTTATAATGTCCGGGCCCGACGGACAATGGTTTATCTCAAAGAGTAGGAAATCAGAGATGCCTTGGATTACCAGAACATGTGATCTCTACCCATTTTTTTAGTTCAGGCTTCATTCCCAGTGGATTTTGTTTTCATTGTTATGTATAACTGTAACAGTTTTTTCAATGGATTTGCTGGATTTGTTTTTGCTAGTTTTTAGAATTATTTTTTAGATGAGGAATTGCGGAATGCTATCGAACGTTTGGCTGTGTTTGTTGCAAAGAACGGACCAGAGTTTGAGAAGATGACCATGGAGAAGCAGGAAGGGAATCCAAAATTTGCTTTTCTTTATGGCGGCCCATTTAATGAATACTACCGATTTTGTGTTGATATGGAAATCCAAAAGTGTGAGTGTTAATACATCTGATTTTGGTATTCGTTGCATGATTCCTTTGCTTTTAATCAATTACAGAATCCCAACGCATCCCTAGATTTTTCAGTTTGTTTTTACTTTTGCCTTTTTTGAGACCATCCTATAAAGTGCAGCAATTAGGAAAGGAGAGTAAAGTCTAGGAATAATATTTCACATCATGTGCAAATCATTACAGAAATCCCGAAATCTGTTGCAGGGGTGTAAAGGGTGTAATACATATTTATTAATGAGATATATCTGTTTCTGTTTGGTATGTATTAGCTGCAGTGCGCGGTGGTCCTCCTCCTTCGCATCCGTCTCTCCCTCCGCATCCAGGAAATGGCTGTCCACCTCTTGGTCCTCCACCTCCAGTTGAGTCAGAGATTATCAGAAGGATGAATACGCAAAAAGAGCAACTTAGACAGCAAATCACGGACAGTGAGAGAAATTTGAAAGCCCACCACGACGCGATTCCTGCTATGAAAGAGGTGGTGCATTAGAGTTGTTGCTGTTACATTAATTCTACGTAATGTATGTATGTAAAGGCACAAGTGGCACAGGCAGTCGTGCTTTCGGAATCCCAGAAAATGACGCAGATTCTTGCTAATGTCAATTTCGACGTAACTCCTCTCGGAGCTATACTGGATCAACTTAATGCTGGGAAATGCTCTAAGGATCTTGTCTCGGTATGCACTCTTATAGAAAAACGTTTTCTTAAGCACTTTTCTGAAGCGAGGTTCATGCTCGTCATTATTAAGTTTTAGACTAGTCGAAAGTGGATATTTGAGCACTGTCAGACTGATCAACTTCGTGAAGTTGTTCTCACTTATCTTTTGAGCAGGTTTGGCGCCCCATGTTCCGGGATATTTCTCTATTTTCTTTCGTAATTAGCCTCACCCAATATTTATTTTAGAAAAATGATAATTCACTTTGGATTTTAGAGTCAAAGATGCTCAAGCCAACGATAACTTTCGATTGAATGTTCTTTATGTTATAAATGATTGGGCGTATCAGTGGTACGTTTGTTTTGTCATCCTTTTCCACAAAATCTTTTTGTTTTTACACAGTCGTCAGTTGATTCAGTCAGCGAAAGCGTCTCGATTCACAAACACAAATGCTCTCTCGCTATGTTCCACAGATGTATGCTTTTACCGTGGAATTGTCTACAGATGCCCTAATGCAGCAGAAATTGGACAAACTTATAGGCGTATGGGAGGGACACAAATACTTTAATGATCAGTGCTTTAAGGCTGGTAGTTGTGATCTTTCCATAATTGATATTTGTATTGCTGTAATATTATGTAATCAATATGAATCAATATTTACACTGGTTTCAGCAGCTTCGAAATCCTAGTCAAATCTACTCATCTGCCAAAGCCGTGCAAGCAGCAGAATATGCGAAGGTTAATTTTTTTTT